CACCTCGTGGAACGAGGAACTTGGAACGAGGTGTACAGATAGTTCGGAATGGCTTGCTAGTTCGAACTATCTAGCCCGGTTCGAACAAGCCGGCATTTAAAAATGGCGCCGGCCGGCTTATGCAAATGAAGCCCGGGAAATTCAAATCCCGGGCTTCATTTGCACGTTCGGTATGCATACATTACCCCGCTAGTTTGCACTAGCGGGGTAGTGTAGACATACCCTGTGCTATTCCCAGCCACTGGCAGCCTCCCCCGACCTGCGCCCAGCCCCCTACCTGCCCTTCACTCCCTCATTGCTCCCTCCTGCAGCCCCCTGCCCTCCTCATCTCTGCTCCTCCTGTCGCCCAAATTCTCCCAGCCCCACTCCAACCCACCTAGCCCCATGTCAGTGCCCTTCTAGCAGCCCACAAACCCCCTTCCCCAAAGTCTGAGCAGGAAACTGCCCCAACGAGTGGAGGGCAGCCCAGACCCACCCACCCTCAATGTGCATGGCCGATGCGTAGCGCCCCGGGCCCAACCTGTGTGTGACCCAGTCAATAAAGGAATTAAAGACACAGACTCTTCCTGTGGATGTGGGACTGCGCGTCAGGAGTGAGGGCCACCGGCAGGGCTGAGGGAGCCCATGTAGGATGTGACAAAGTGGGGATTTTATTGCCTTTGTTATGTTACATATGATTTCTACTTTCCTGTGGTAATCCCATGTATGTGCCTCAGTTTCCCTGGGCACTGCATCAATACCTAGATGGTGATGGGGATTTCAGGTGTGGCTCCCACTGAGGGAGGTGACCCTAGCCCCAGCAGGCACACAATGGACAATCCCTTTGCAACTTGACCCCAAGAGAGGGTGCAGCCACATGACACCTTTTGCACCCAGGAAGGAGAACAAAGACCGGGGGAGGGGTTGACTAGGGGACTAGGACCAGGCAACCAGGCCCGTGGGTTAGTCTCAGCTGGCCTAGGCTACAGCAAAGGGATCAGGGGATTAGCTCTGGGACCCCTCTCCCCAGGTGGATGGTTCCTGCTTCTGGTTCCTGTGCTGACAAGTCTGTTCTGTGCTGTGTCCCTGCTGCCTAATAAACCTTCTCTTCTAGCTGCCAGCTGAGAATCACGTCTGGCTGTGGATGGGGGTGCAGGGCCTGGTGACTCACGCACACCTCAGACACACTGGTGGCAGCAGTGGGATGCATGGCACCCTGTGGATGGAGCAATGGAGCATCCAGCAGCAAGTGACCAGGGCAGAGTAAGAAGAAGGGGAACTAGCAAGAGCCGGGCGCACTGAAGGCCAGTGAGGTGTTGTTCCAGGAGACAAAGGAGTTGAACCACAAAAGAGTGTGGTCCTCAAGAGGGGTGTCAACCCAAGAAGGGGTTTCCTCTGGGGCTATGGGAATTGGTCCCAGGAGTCGGCAGGGCCTGCGGCCTTGGCTCCGGGAGGGGCTGTGACCCTCAAGGTGACTGGCACACTGAAGGGTTCTTCCTGGGATTCACAGGGTGCTGCAAGAACGGGCGTGGGAGTCTGAGAGCCCTGGGGAGCAGTGGGGGCTAGCCTAGAACTGTCAGCCAGGTGCTGAGCTGTGTAAGGAGAGAGGGCTGCAAACTGGAAGTTCCCCAAAGCCCTGCTAATTCCCCAGCTAGAAGAGAATGATCCTCCCCAGAGCTGGTCCCTGTCCTGACCAGACAGCCCCTGAGGGCACTTTGGGCCCCCACCCAGCTGAGGATGGGGAAGGGGCCGGAGGCAAGCAAGTGAACCCTGGACACTAGGACCCACTCGGCTAGTGGTTTATCACAGCTGGATTCCCCCTTGCTGGAGCCCAGCTAAGACAGAGGAGCTGCAGGGCCTTTAGGAGGAACCTGAGAAGCAGTGGCAGAACCAGGAGAGGGAGCAGCAGGACCGTCCTAGGGGTGTTTAAGTCTCAGCTTCACAAAGCCCTGGCCAGATTGATTTAGTAGGAATTAGTCCTGCCTAGAGCAGGGGGCAAGGAGGTTTACAGGATCTGTCGAAAAAGGCTTTCTTTCTCAACAGATCCCACTCTAGACTGCCGCTTTTTGCCAACAAAGTGCTGAGTCGGCAAAACGTGGCAGCCATTTTTATGCAAATTAGGCACCGGATATTTAACTCCCTGCCTCATTTGCAATGTCGACCTTCCTAATCTGCATCCCTCTTCCGACAGAGGGATGCAGTCTAGACATACCCGGAGAGACAGCAGCAGGGCCAGGAGAAGGAACGGCAGGACCAGGAGAGGGAGCAGCAGCATGGACAGGCCATGGCAGGGCTAAGGATGTTAAATATCCGTTAATTGAATAGTTGAGTAACCTCATGAATTCTTATTGGTTAGTCGACTAGTCTATAGTCCCCTAGGGCGGGGCCAGCAGCCGCTGTATCAGAGGCAGCAGCATGGGGTGCCAGGCAGGGTGCCAGGTGGAAGCTGGTCTGCAACAGTGCGGGGTAGCAGCAGCCCCTGTCTAGGGGGGGGTCTGAGCTCCCAGACCCAACACACGCTGGAACTGAGCTGGGCTGCCTGCCTATCTGGCTCCCAATACACTTTAAATGCAGAGCTGAAGCAGCGGTAAGTCAAGGACCTGGTGTGAGCCAGGACTGAGCCAGACTGCTGGCCAGTCTGCTAAAAAATTTACTGGCAGGGGTGGGAGGGAAATGCATGCAGTCTATTCCATTGACCTATAAGCTTTTGCTTATCAGTTAATCGACTACACTATTACATCCGTTGGCAGAGCCGAGAGGCAGAGAGACCCCTGCTGCGGTGAGTGGGGAAAGGCCCAGGGGGCCCAGGACTGCATGGAACTAGGATGTGGACGTGCTGCCCCAGTGTAAGGGAGGGGGGGCATAGATCCCTCCTTGCTGCCTTTGAGAGCCTGCGACCTGCACCAGGCTGACCCAGCAGACAGGCTCCCTCATCTCACCCCTTACGGGATCCCAGGCCCAGGGACACTCATCCAGAAGGACGGGATGGAGGCAGGGCACTCTGAGCTGTTCAGACAGGCCCTGCTGCACAGGGGTGGGCTGACTCTTGAGACGAACAGGAAGAGGTTCTGGAGTTCACAGAAGGCCCCAGGGGAGACCTACCTGGCCCGCCGCATGGGGCCATACGCCCGCAAATGGGCAGGTGGGGCAGGGCCCGGACCTGGCTGAGCTGATGATGCTGGAGCAGCTGTATGAACACTGCCCCCCGACCTGAGACTGTGGCTGGCGGACAAGAGGCTGGAGGACCTGCATGGCAAATGGTTGAGGAGTTTACAGACCCCTGCTCCAGGCATGGAGGAGAGCCCCAGAGGTACCAGCTCTCAGCTGTGCAGCGGGGAGAGGTGCCCATAGTTTACCAGGAAGGGGGACTCAGGTAAACTCCTCCCAATGGGGGCAGCCAATACCTGGGTGGACCAACCGGCCTGAGGGAACCAAAGGGACCAGTGCCCCAAGCTCCAGGACAAGCTGAGCAAACCAAGGGTTAACTGGCTGGGGCTGGAAGAGGGGCAGGCTGCCCTCCGCTCAGCTGGGAGAGGCCCCTCAGGCCAGCTCCTCTGTAAGGGTGTTAAGTATTGACTAACTGACTAATCAAATAGTCGATGCATTTTGTGTTTAGTCAATAGGGCGCCTCTGCCTTTGAAGTGTAGCGACAACCCAAGGGCTGCATGGAGCCCGGGATCACCTGGAGACTCCCCCACAGACTTCAGGCTCCGTACAGCGCTGCCACTTTGAAATGCCACGAGGAGCCTGATGCTGGGCTGCACGCAGCGTTTGAAAGCGACAGCGCCACATGCGAGCCCGGGGTCTGGCCCCAGGCTTCAAGCAGCGCTGCCACTTTGAAGTACCCCCTCCGCTTCCCCCCCACCTTGCTGCGTCTAGCTGATGGAGGCAGCAAAGGGGGGAAGCAACTAGTCGACTGTCCTGTCCACTATCCCATGAACATTTACTTATTGGATAGTCGACTAGTCCTTCACATCCTACTCCTCTGTGGGGCCTGATGCTCCGGAGGGAGGTTTTTCAGTGTACAGGGTGGGGGCAGGGCTGCCCTGCGGAGCGAGTGCCTTGTGCCCCTGGAGGTGGATGGGAGGAAGGTCACGGGGGCTGGGACACGGGCACGGAGGTGACGCTGGCCCAGCTGGAGCTAGTGGCACCAGACC